GGTTGCGCCCAAAGTTCATGGATCCTCTGTCCTCCACACAAATGATATTTAAGCTACGCAAACAACTTAATAGTACATATGCTGGAAGATCAATATAAGTCCGCAATAGTATATATAAGTTGACCGAATTTGTAATTTTCATAAGTCCATTTTGCGGGAGAGGAATGATTGAAGAAGGGGGGAAAATGGGAGTAAGAAGAAAGAAAGACAATATATAACGATAATTCATCCTGGAGCCCGGGCTCATCTGCTCCCGCTCAGCAAAAATTTCAAACAAAATACTAGAAAAATTCAAAAATTCCAATTTTTTTTGTGGTGGTAGATAATTTGACGCGTGAGGTGCGCCCCAAAAATTCAGTTTATTTGGACATCTGAGTAGCTCTCGGCAAAAAAGACAAATCGGATCAAAACAGTGCGTGAACAGTAAATATTTTTACAGACCCTGATTTTGTCTTTTTTGCCGAGAGATGCTCAGATGCTCAAATGAGTTGAATTTTCGGGCGCACCTCACGTGTCAAATTATCTACCACCACAAAAAAAATTGGAACTTTTTTGAATTTTTCTAGTATTTATTTTGATTTTTTTCTAAGCGTGGGTGGAGATGAGCTCGGGAGCCAAAACTCAGCGTCCAATATATAAGTCTTACTGTGTTGACAAAATTCCAAACAACTCAATAAAATCGCTCTTTATGTGTGCCAATGCAATTATACAATGATGTAGTGATGTGAGCTTCATATGGAGAAATCGACATGACAAAATACTACTCCCTCCGTCCGGAAATACTTGTCATCAAAATGAATAAAAGGGGATGTATCTAGATGTATTTTAGAGCATGCTTGGATTCAAGGGACTATTTTTAGTCTGACTAAAACTAGTCTCTTTTAGAGGCTAAAGTTCCAATCACCCCTGACTAAAGAGAGGCTAGAACTAGTCTTGAGACTAAAAAAAATTAGTTAGGGGAACCCTACTAAAATGTGGATTAGTCCTCTCTCTCCTCATTTAACTCCTCTCCTTTAACACATGCGAGTTCTGGATTGGAGGGTTTGGAGGATAATAAATGCTCATTAACTCGATTTTAGTCTATTTAGTATTTGTATCCAAGTATGGGTGAGGCTAGCAAGTTTTAGTCCCACTACTTTTAGTCATGGGACTAAAACGTATCAAGCACCCTCTTAGTTCTAGATACATCGTTTTTTATCCATTTTGATGACAAGTATTTTCGGACGGAGGGAGTAGTTAGCTAACTAGGGTTGATCAATCCTGAGTCTCAAATCCCATTACTGAAATTACATATATATATTGATGTATTGTAAGTATATTTGTATATATCATCCTATGACCTAAGTGGAAACTAATTAGCCACATGTAAAAATAGTAAGTAGTCGTCAAACATACATACTCCGTCGTATGATCAAATTGTCAACAATTAATCAGTCAAGATACTCTGAAATCCTCCGGATCAAATATGTATCGTTAAGTGTTCTTGGAGGAGCTCGAATTGGCTGCCGGCGGCGGCGTCATTGTCTGGCCGTGGAAGAGCTGTGGAGCCGTGGACGGCAGCAAGCTGCTCCACAGGTTCCAGTCGATCGTCCCAGCAGCAGCCGCCAGCTGCTGATCCGCACTGCTACACCCACCGCTGATCTGCGAGATGTCGCCCTCGCCCTCGCCGTCGAAGGTCGGGCTCTGGAGCGGCGGCGGCAGGTCGGAGGGGAACAGCTGCACCTGCTGCTTGGACTCCACCGCCAGAACATGCTGATCATGTGGTGGACCCCCGCCGGCGACCATCAGGCGCGCGTTAGGGTTGTCGTAGTAGTAGTAATTGGAGGCGGAGTTGTAGCTGCCGTTCATCGTCGGGTACCCGCCGCCGCCGTAGGACAGCCTGTGCTGCTGGTTGGGCACCGGCTTCACGAAGGCGCGGCACACCACCCACCCTTCCTCCTGAACGATCAAATTAACCCACAAAATTAATTAGCACTGCAATTGAACAACAAAATTCGTTGCATGCATGGATGGAGATGAATCTTGAATCTGAATTGATGCATGTCTGCATGCCTGTGTGGGCGCGTGCTCGTTGGACTGGAGGCGGTACTCGTGGATGATCCAGTCGGTCTTGCGGCCGTTGGGGGCGCGGCCGCGGTAGAAGACGAGCGTCTTCCTCATACCGATCACGGACGCCGGAGACGACGAGGACGAGGAGAGCACCGGCTTGTCCCTCCCGGTGGCCTTCCAGAAGCCGGCGGCCGTGGCGCGGTTGGTGCGCGTGCCGCTGGGGTACTTGCGGTCCTTGTAGCTGAAGAAGTAGTACTCCGTCGTCGGATCTTCCTGCCCTCCTCCTCCGCCGCCGTACTTGCCGCACCTCTCTGCCATCAATCAACACACACAGCTCGGTCAGCCTCCATTAACCACTGCAAACCATCGAGCTCTGCATGCAGGATGGACGAAGTGGCGAACGAACTAGGTACCTTGGAGATCCCACGGCTCGATCCGGTAGAGGTCGACCTCCTGGATGATGTCGAGGTCGATCTTGTGGGAGGACACCTTCCTGGCGAGGTAGTAGCCGACGAGCTCCTCCTCCGTGGGGTGGAACCTGAACCCCGGGGGCACCGTGTTGTAAGAGGACTCCTCCATTGCCAGACCACCTCGATCGCTCGACCAGGCGATGATGCTAGCTCTCTGCTCTAGAACATGCAAAAGCTAGCGGGTTCAGGTTCAGTCTCAGGCCTGAGCGAGCATGTGCATGTGTATCTGAATGGGCCAGGCAGCGAGAGAAAAGGTCCTAGAAATAGGGAGGCATGCACTGCACTCCTCATGCAATGGAATTCAGGATGGCATGCCGACCTAATTAGTTGTTGCACCACACCTAAAGGAGTCGTACCCGTACATACAATACAATACATACAGACATCATTCTTTTAGGAGAACATCTAGGTAGCTATCTAGACAATCCGTGTATTGTACAGTACTGTACCACCTAATAGCTACTATTTCGGTTTCAGACATGAGAGACATGGACTGGTCAGTTAATTAGGACGGCTGGCTCGATCAGCTTGTGACATACCAAAGCAGGAACGAAATTTAGTGCAAATCCGAAGTGGTACTAGTTTTTGGACGGTGTGTAGTGAAGCTTTTTGGAAGGTAGAGAGGACGGTCTCCTAGCTAGCTAGCTTGGAGTGCACTTCAGGGCTGATCTCACTCACATCCACCATCCAGAGATACTAGCTAGCAAGTACTGACCCTTCTCTGTCACCTACAGCCTTCAGGACCTCCCACGTAACATAATACATGTACCAATAAAAAGGAACTATGTATGGCTGCCATGCATACACCGCAGGGGTTGATGGATCAGAGATATGAGATATGATTATGACAGATGTTGCAACAAACGATCCAATCATGACTATAACAAAACAAAGGCATGTTTGTACTTGGGTATATATATTTAAACTCGTCGAATTAAGAGCTATAGATGATACTCGTTGATGCTAGGACTGGTTGCTAGAGGAGCTTTTAAAAAAAATGAACTAGAGGGGCTTGTGAGAGACAGGTGTGGTCAAGAACTTGAACCTGATGTAAACATGAGGTCCGCATGTTACAGGCACGCGTGCAGTGGAGATCTGCAACTAGCAGCTACAGCGCGTGTAGAATCTATCTAAAGAGAGACAGAGATCGATGGAGAGAGAGAAGCTTGCTTAGTCGGTTAATAAGTCGTCAACAAGCGACCACCACCACCATCACTGCGAAAGCGACGCACAGTTTCCCAGTTGAGAGTTGAGCAAATTTGAGTGTACATATATATGTGCAAGCAAATGCCTTTTCCCGAAAAGGAAGGGGGTTGTGTTCTAACCCAAGCCACCCCCGCTTTCCCCTCATCACCATCCCGCCTATTGCCCCGATTTTTCTTGGGCCGTGGTGTGGCATGGGTGGTGCCAACTTTGGGGATCTATGGGTTGTGTCATCCTCGGCATTGAAATATATTTCTGCTTAATGAAGTACATGTATCTCCTGTGCTCTCGTGCATGGTTTGAAAATAGAGAGATAAGGGAGTGCGCTTGGCCTCTACAACCGTTTGTATTGAAATCGTTTATTATGAAACATCAAAGTCATCCAATTACTACTTTCTCCGTCCCAAAATAAGTGTCTCAAACTTAGTACAATTTTGCACTTAAGTTGGTACAAAGTTGACACTTATTTTGAAATGGAGGGAGTATTTGTTTTCTATTTCCTTGGAAAAGTAGGGAGCAAACGTTTAGATTTTGTGCTCGGGGCGCGACGCGCTGCGACGTTTTTTGGGGAGGAGATGAGCAGTAGAGAAGTAGGCAAGGAGGAAGGGGCTGGCAAATAAGGTGGAGGGTCAAGTAGAGCTTGATCAGGACACAACGGTAGATCAGAGGAGAGACAGAAGGGGGGAAGGGGGCACAAAGGATGAGGAAAGGAGAGATCAGGATGGCTACTCGAGCGAGGGAGGAAAGGAGGCCCGAGGACGTCCATGCATCACGAGGGATTGGCCGGGGGTGAGAGGTAGGGAGTGCATAAACAAATAAAGGGTGGAGTGACGTGCCATAAGGTTCAGGAATGGACTCCGCGCAACATCAACTCAAACCAAATCACTTTATGTTCCAATCTAAACTGCCGTCTCAAGTAACTGAAAAAAAGTGAACCAATCATATAGTAGAAGTTAGAACATATGAAACCGAGGTTTTGGAGAGGCAATTCTTTAGATGACAAAGCAATGCATATACGACGGCACTTGACTCCTGCAGCCATCCAAATAACATTCAGAGCTCCCTTCACAAACATATATCCCTTAATTTGGCGAACAGCAGCTAATACATGTGTAAAACCGTGTGCTTCAGTATCAGAGACCAAACGCGAGACCATCAAATCAAAATCAAGGACTAATTAACTTTCCACTTTACTGTTCAATCAAACTTCTCCGTTAGATCAGCAGCTTAATCTCCTACCGCACAACAGATCCGCAGTTCAAGAGCAGGGCAGCATCATCACTCCTGCTTGCTGCGGGCCTCGCGAGCACGGTGCTTGAGCTCGGCCCTTTTCCACCTTACCATGAGCATGCAGAGTGTCACAAGGGTGTTCACCTGCGGAACAAGCGCAGAGGAGGCAGCTACGCATAAGGAAGGCTGAAGGGGATGCAGACTGACACGGCGAATGAGACTGACTATGCGCTTACCAGAATAAGTATCGTAATCAGGAGCAAGGGACCGGACCACATGACCGAGATGAAGAGGCCTTGGGGATCAAAGTAATTCTGGCTTGAGAAGCTCTTCCAGTTTTGTCCTAAGAACGTGTTTAGTTTCTCGGCAAGGAATACACCAGAAACTGCAACGAGTTAAGTACATCAGGTAAGCAAAGGGGGTAATCTAGCGTATTACAAAAGCTATTGCTTGCTGGCGCTTTGCCTTTAAATCCTGACTTGCATCGGAATGGAAAGAGGAAACATTATCTCTCAGTGTCAAGGTTACATTTACTAATTACTTGTTGAAATATTCAAACTAATTGTGTGGTTAAATTTTATATGGATGTAAAATAACAGGCACAATAGCAAAGAAGGTGAAGGTCTTCTCATCTCACATGCAAGTACATAATTAGAAACCGGAGAGAAAAACGCTACACTGAGACCTCTGACATGACTAAACCAACATTTATGCAGGAGTTGGACGTTGCCCGTGCCACTGCAAATTAGATAAGCTTTACAGAGTTGACATGTGCAGTGTGATTATTTTGACGGTTTCAAGGAGACACAGTACATAAAACTGCTAAGCTCAGAAATCATAAAAAATATCGATACTAATGGTCGGTATATCATGGCATTCGGAACTAGTATGACATTAATGATGTACACATTCTATTAACATTGGTAACAGTACTAGAAGTCCGAAGGCCAAATAAAAAGGAACAATAGGAAAATAACACTCACATGTTAAGGCTGACAAGATAAGTTGGAAATTGATGTTCCTCCTGGAGATGATGGTTACCAGTAGCAGAATGGCATGGAAACTTATCATGCCGATCAACCAAGGTTCCTGAAGACACAGAAGGAACAGATCAGTCAAGGTACGAACAGGGACGACGATTACTCATCAGATGAGGCGAAGTTGATTATTACACAATAAAACATGAACCGAGATACAGCGGTTGATTCAGGAAAACAGTGATATATGACTACACAGAAGTACTAGCTACTGAGTTTCATGTGGTAAACCATCAACATGGAAGCTCCGAAATTGGAGTAATCACAAGCGGCATTAAGTAACTTGCATTCTGTTGCAGACTCTACTCTTAGATGCAGCGGTGTGGTGTTCGATTGTTAATAGTCCACGGGAATGAGGAGGCAGTGGAATCGCGCAGAGATGAACCACATGAAATTGTTCGTCCTACGTAGCATAACTACCCAGACCATCGCTGCCTCTCAAGAGAGATCCAGGCGAGGCCAGCGGTGAAAAATCACAGCGTCCGTTGGATTTGCTCGACAACGAGCAAACTGACCAGCAGCGGCTTCTGCTTCCCGGTGGACTAAATCCTAGGGTCAAGCGAGCGAAGCAGGGGGTGAGGGAAAAAAGACGCACCTTCCAGTCGACGGCGTGGAAGAAGCCGACGAAGGAGTCGACGGCGGGGCCGAACCCGCCGCGGAGCTCGGTGGAGACGCGGCCGAAGAGCTCGGCCACCACGTCAGCGTGCTCGTTCAGCGCCGAACGCACCTCCTCCACCGCTCGCCCAACCGCCGCCGCCGCCGGGGAGGAGGAGGACGCCGCCATCTCGTCTCGTGATCTGATCTCCTCTGCACTGCTCTCGTCCTTTCTCTGCAAGAGACGCAAAGGCAAAAGGTCGTTCCCCCTGCTAATTCGGGACCACACGTCAGTGACTTTAAACGCTGGAAACACTTGGGCCGAGTTCTTCCTTAACTGGGCTGGGCTCGCACCTCCTTTGATTTCCAATATATATATAGTATATATAATGGAATACGAATCAATCAATTTGATTTAAAATCAAATTCCAATACAATTTAAAAATCATTACTAAAATAAATAATAAATTTAATATTTGTTTCTTGATATTACATAAAATGCAAACTATTTAATTTGTAAAAAAATTGTACTCGTTGGGGTCCAAAGAAAATGGTACTCAAAATTTTAATCCCTTGTTCACGCTTTTTTCATGTGTCTCGTTCATATCATAAAGATTATAGTACAAGTCACGTAGACATTAACTAAGCAAAATAAAGTCCATGTCGACGGCCTCCTTCACCGCAACTTCCTTTCTTGCGGCATCGTGGGCGCATCGCTCCCTCTGGGTGACGATCTCTGTCTTGCTCACGATGGTCAGGACCCCCACGGTCTTCGTTGAGCCATCGTCCATGGCGATTGGGGTACAATGTATTGGGCGTCGACATCTAAGACAATGGCGTAGAGGCAACGCAAGAGTGGAGAAGGGCAACGGCTCGAGGGACGGGAAAAGGAGTACGAACGCGGAAGAACGGTTGATTTGGTGGAGTTGATCAATTTAGAGAGATATTTTTAAGAAACATTAGAGAGAGATATGTATTAGATCCAGCCTGTCAGGTCCGCCGTAGCGGTCACGCCCCGCATGTGTCGGGGGCCCTCAAACCCACCACACATATGGGCTGGGTTTGAGGGGTGACTATGGGTTAGCTTTAGAGCATCTTCAATGGATGATGTAAATTTGAAGATATAAAAGTGGGTGTTGTATAATTTACATCATCAAAAAGTGCTTTTTACATCTTTAAAAAAGTCTCAACTCCAACAGATGATGTATATTTGGTGATGTAAAACTTCAACTCCAATAGATGATGTATAAACAGTTAAACGGTCGAGCGGCAGCTGCTGTACAATAGCAGTTCAGCCGCTATAAAGTAGCACACCAGTCGCACAATTTAAAATAAAAGAATCTAAAATTAAAACTTAAAATTTTCATCTATCCACAATATCAAATTATTGCATAATTTATCAAATCCACAACATCAAATGCAATACAAATACAATAAAGTTCTTGCACAATACAACAAACAAATAATGAAACTAGGTAGTTCTTTTCGTCATGCCATTTCTAGTACTTCAAATTTGTTCGAAGTTCATTGTGTGAATCGGAGCTAATTTCAGTGTAGACTTTCATGAAACGTCTGATTTGTTCCTCTTTTCTCATTGGCATAACGCGTACGCCCATCATATCAGAAAAGGTGTGCTACTTCTTGAGTTAGCGTTTTTATTTTCCTTGAAAAGGAAAGGGTGATGCAGCAAAGTAGAGGTAAGTATTTTCCTCAGTTAAAAACCAAGGTATCAATCCAGTAGAAGGAACAACCAAGTCTCTAATAGATGCACCTGCACAAACTAACAAACACTTGCATACAATAAAGGGGTTGTCAATCCCTTCACAGTCACTTGCAAGAGTGAGATCCAATAGAGATAGATATAAAAGATAAATTAAAGGCAAAATAAATTAAAGGTAAATAAATTTCAGCAAGGTATTTTTGGATTTTTGGTTTATAGATTTGAAAATAATATGATGGAAAATAGACCTGGGGGCTATAGGTTTCACTAGAGGCTTCTCTCTTGAAAGAAAACATACGGTGGATAAACACATTACCGTTGAGCAATGGATAGAAAAGTGCATAATTATGATGATATCCAAGGCAATGATCATGAATATAGGCATCACGTCCGTGACAAGTAGACCGACTTCTGCATACATCTACTACTACTCCACACATCGACCGACTCCTGACTGCATCTAGAGTATTAAGTTCAAAAGGACAGAGTAATGCCTTCAGCGAGATGACATGATGTAGAGGGATAAACTCAAGCAATATGATATAAACCCCATCTTTTTATCTTTAATGGCAATAATACAATACGTGCCTCACTACCCCTTCTGTCACTGGTGAGGACACCGCAAGATTGAACCCATCACAAAGCACCTCTCCCATTGCAAGATAGATCAATTTAGTTGGCCAAACCAAATCAATAGATCAGACAAAAGTACAAAACTACCTTAATCATGCATAAAAGAGTTTAGAAAAGACTCAAATAATATTCATAGATAATCTGATCATAAATCCACAATTCATCGGATCTCAACAAACGCACCGTAGAAGAAGATTACATCGAATAGAACTCCAAGAACATCGAGGAGAACATGGTATTGAAGATCACAGGGAGAGAAGAAGTCATCTAGCTACTAGTTATGGACCAGTAGGTCTATGATAAACTACTCACACATCATCGGAAGGGCAGCAAGGTTGATGTAGAGGCCCTCCATGATCGAATCCCCCTCCAGCAGAGAGTCAGAAAAAGCCCCAAGATGGGATCTCACGAGAACAGAAGCTTATGGCGACGGAAAAGTATTTTTGTGGACACTTTTGATTTAGGGGGTATATTTGAGAATATATAGTGGTGGAATTATAGTTGGAAGGTCTCTAAGGGGCCCACAAGCCCTGGGGGTGCCCCTCGGGGCGCACCCCTACGGCTTGTGGCCGCCTCGTAGGTCTTCTGGCCTCCTCTCCAAGTCTTGTGGGTTTCTTCTGGTCCAAGAAAAATCATCATAAAGTTTTATTCCATTTGGACTCCGTTTGATATTGATTTTCTGTAAAAGTTAAAACAAGGAAAAAGCAACTGGCACTAGGCACTAGGTTAATAGGTTAGTCCCAAAAAATGATATAAAATAGTACCATAATGCATATAAAACATCCAAAATAGATTATATAATGGCATGAAACAATCAAAAATTATAGATACGTTGGAGACGTATCAAGCATCCCGAAGCTTAATTTCTGCTCGTCCTCGAGTAGGTAAATGATAAAGACAGAATTTTTGATGTGGAATGCTACCTAACATATTTATCAATGTAATTTTCTTTATTGTGGCATGAATGTTCAAATCCATAAGATTCAAAACAAAAGTTTAATATTGACATCAAAATAATAATACTTCAAGCATACTAATAAAGCAATCATGTCTTCTCAAAATAACATGGCCAAGGAAAGCTAACCCTACAAAATCATATAGTATGGTTATGCTCTATCTTCACCACACAAAGTATTTAATCATGCACAACCCCGATGACAAGCCAAGCAATTGTTTCATATTTTTAATGTTCTCAAGCTTTTTCAACTTTCATGCAATACATGAGCGTGAGCCATGGATATAGAACTATAGGTGGAATAGAATATGGTGGAGGTTGTGGAGAAGACAAAAAGGAGAAACTCTCACATCAACTAGGCAAAATAATGGGCTATGGATATGCCCATCAATTGATATTGATGCAAGTGAGTAGGGATTGCCATGCAGCGGACGCACTAGAGCTATAAGTGTATGAAAGCTCAAAAATAAATTAAGCGGGTGTGCATCCAAGTTGCTTCCTCACGAAGACCTATGGAACTTTGAGGAAGCACATCATTGGAATATACAAGCCAAATTCTATAATGAAAAATTCCCACTAGTATATGAAAGTGATAACATAGGAGACTCTCTATCATGAAGAACATGGTGCTACTTTGAAGCACAAGTGTGGAAAAAGGGTAGTAACATTGTCCCTTCTCTCTTTTTCTCTCATTTTTTTGTCTGGATTCTTTGGCCTCTCTTTTTTATATATCTCCTTTTTTTTATTTTTCATCCGGAGTCTCATCCCGACTTGTGGTGGAATCATAGCCTCCATCATACTTTCCCCACTTGGGACAATGCTCTAATAATGATGTTCATCACACTTTTATTTACTTACATCTCAAGAATTACAACTCGATTCTAGAACAAGATATGATTCTATATGAATGCCTCCGGCGGTGTACCGGGATGTGAAATGATCTAGCATGACATGTATAAAAACTATGAACGGCGGCCATGCCACAAATACTATGTCAACTATATGATCATGCAAAGCAATATGACAATGATGGTGTATGTCATAATAAACAGAATGATGGAAGTTGCATGGCAATATATATCTAGGAGTGGCTATGGAAATTCCATAATAGGTAGGTATGGTGGTTGTTTTGAGAAAGGGTATATGGTGGGTTTAATGCACCCGTGAAAGTTGCACGGTACTAGAGAGGATAGCAATGGTGGAAGGGTGAGAGTGCGTATAATCCATGGACTCAACATTAGTCATAAAGAACTCACATACTTATTGCAAAAATTTATTAGCCATCAAAACAAAGTACTAACACGCATGCTCCTAGGGGGATAGATTGGTAGGAAAAGACCATCGTTCGTCCCCGACCGCCACTCATAAGGAAGACAATAAAAATAAAGCATGCTCCGACTTCATCACAAAACGGTTCACCATACATGCATTCTTCGGGAATCATAAACCTTAACACAAGTATTTTTACTACTCCACAATTACCAACTATCATGACTCTAATATCACCATCTTTATATCTCAAAACAAATGCAAGGAATCAAACTTCTCATATATTCAATGATATTTATGAAAGTTTTTATTATATCCCTCTTGGATGCCCATCATATTAGGACTAAATTCATAACCTAAGAAAATTGCCATACTATTTTCAAGACTCTCAAAATAATATAAGTGAAGCATGAGAGTTCAACAATTTCTATAAATAAAGCCACCGCCGTGCTCTAAAAAGATATAAGTGAAGCACTAGAGCAACTACCTAGCTCAAAAGATATAAGTGAAGCACATAGAGTATTCTAATAAATTCACGATTAATGTGTGTCCCTCTCAAAAGGTGTGTATAGCAAGGATGATTGTGTTAAACTAAAAAGTAAAGACTTATATT